TAATCTCCATGGACGACCACCCAGACCTCATCTACAGCATCAGCTGGAACCGAAACGGCAGCTTGTTCTGCACCACCTGTAAGGACCGACGTCTGCGTGTCTGCGACCCCCGCAAGAGGGAGGTGGTGGCGGTGAGTGAGTAGAAAATACAAATAAATTTGAGCCATGGAGCACTGACACATGTGACATCTGACAAATGTATTTTTCCTGGAAGTTACAGGAGGCCAGGGATGACAATATATAACAGATAAAAAGACTGAGTACAGTCTTTTTTTTTATCTGTAACAGCCAGGCAGCATTATTGGACATTTTACAATATATCATAGTTTCAAATATATTTTTGATTTGGATTTATCAAATGGCTGGGGGACCAGCTTCACCCTGTCACAGCCTTATGGTGCCACTGGCCTTTAGTACAATTCATCATGACATCATCATCTGTGCTTTCCCAAGTAGTTTGAGGGCATGGTAATCTTAGTGTATGTAGACTTCTGACTTTGAAGAAAGTAGTAAAAAAATTTTTTACAAAATTCTCTCTCTTATTATTCTGGCGTTTAGCAAATAAAACTAATTTTGGTAATCCATCCCAAACTGACTTAAAATAGGAAAGGTTTACTCACATTTAATGTCAGATAGTGAGGAAAAATGTTTTTGTGTGTTTTTTTATAGTGTGTTTTTACTTTTGTTTTTTCTTTTGTATATCTATATTTTTTAAGTTTTGCCTCTCCAAAGTTTTCGGCATTTTTTTTTTTGGCTTTTGAGGCTCTATTTGAACGACAACATCTCTGGAACTATTGACGATAAAAGCCTGAAATGTTCACAGTTATTTCTCTACAGCAAATTACCTTCTGCAAACAGTTAATAAACTGAAATGTAGCAGCAGAATAATGTAACCTGCTATTATATAGAGATGTTTTTGATTTCCTACTGAGCTTAGTTCAGTGGAATCACAGTGTGACATAAAACCTCATTAAACATCAGTTTATTTTTCCAGCAAACAGAGGCTCTTATGGTAATGTTTGTCTTTTTGCCGACTGACAGGAACGTTTGGCTCCACATGAAGGGATTCGGCCAATGAGAGCCATTTTCACCAGAGACGGAAACATCTTCACCACAGGATTCACCAGGATGAGTCAGCGAGAGCTCGGCCTCTGGGACCCGGTAACAAACGATTCAGTTTCACACACAAGAAAGCGATGAAATAAATATATTGCACAATGAAATGTAGGCTTTATTCATGATTTCTCATTCTCCACAGACAAATTTTGAGGAGCCAATTGCACTTTTGGAGCTGGACACGAGTAATGGAGTGTTGTTACCGTACTATGATGCAGACGCAAACATGGTCTACCTCTCTGGAAAGGTAAGGAGACGCTCTTCATCTGATTTCAATCCTGTTTGAAAATGTTTCCAGCCTCAGTAATGACGATACTGACTTGTTTGCTTTTGGTATATGTGTGTTTGGGTGCTTAGGGGGACAGCAGTATCCGTTACTTTGAGATCACAGAGGAGCCGCCGTACGTTCACTACCTCAGCACCTTCAGCAGTAAGGAGCCGCAGAGAGGGATGGGCTTCATGCCCAAGAGAGGTGTGGACGTCAGCAAATGTGAGATCGCTCGGTAAGATACTGATGGGGCAGTAAATTACAGAGAAGTGTGGCTTTACAACAGTTTTTCCGTGGATTCGTCAGTATATCACCCTTCAGAGTAAAGGTTAACAGCACCTATAAATGTGTAGTTATTTTAGTTTCCATCACTGAGGATTTGGTCCATTAACTCAGGAATACATATTTAAAGTTGCTATTTTACTCACCTTCAGCGTTTCACCATTAAATGCCTTATATTCCCTAGTCCCTAATTTTTGGACTACTTCATCCAACATGTTTATGTCACAAATTATTTGATGAATTATCCATCATTTGACTGACTGATGTGCATGAGATCATCATACACCGGTGTTGAAAGAAACTGCATCTCTTCGCAATTTCATATTTTTGTGACACTATGTTACATTAATGACTAATATCTCAAATAGAAATATATGAATTATCCCTCTCAACTCCATGTTGGGCATCTTTTGCTCCTGAAACACTTTCCCCCACTGTGGGCTCATTTCTCAATGCAGTATAAAGTCCTGCACCTCTATGGAAATACTGGGTTCAGATGGTTAAGGCACAACAAAGTAGTATTTGACAGGTACCCTTAAAATATTCCTAAATTTAAAAAAAACATAGTGTGCTTAGATAACAGACATGAACAGCTCATGTAATGATGCATCACCACCTACACTGTGTCAGTCTTATCTGATATAATTTTGAGGATATATTGCCATTAACTTTTGTACTTAACACTTGTAGACATAAAGTATAAACCGATAGACTGATGTGTAACAAAAGCACTGCTGATGTTTGTCCTCCGTCCTCCTGTTTCTCTGCTCTGTATCATCTTTTTGCTTGTCCTCTTAGGTTATACAAGCTGCTTGACAAGAAGTGTGAGCCCATCACAATGACAGTGCCCAGAAAAGTAAGTACCATTGATCTCCAAGTTCTGCTAGGCTCTTGACTTTGACAGAAGAGGAAAACGACTAAGTGCATTTACAGAAGTACTCTGTTAAGGCTGATTTTAAGGTCCTGTAGTGGAAAACATCAACTACATGCAACTTTGTGCTTTAGTGTGCTGTCTTCCATACAGAAATATTGTAGCTTTTCACCCCACTGTATTTTTAGCTATAAAACTCTGATCTTTAGTAACTTTTCAGACATATTTTTCACACAAAACACATGATTTCCTTAAAAAAATATGATGCATCCTCATAGAAGACAAAAAAACTACCAAAAAGTAAGCTTTGACCATAACAGCATTCAAATATTGGTAATGGTAACAATAATAATTCAGTGATTTAATAATGTGGCACTGACAAGAAGCATTTTGCATGAGTACTTTACGTTTAGAATAAGATAAGATCAGATCAACTTCATTAGTCCCAAAGGAAATAGTTTTGCTAGACTTGAAATTTAATTTTGAATGTTGAAAGTACATTTTGGTAGCAATGCATCTTTAGTTTTATTTAAATATTATTTAAATTTAATGCAAAACTTTAACTTGTACTTTTTTGGGTGCAGAATCTCTACTTTTGTTTATTACAAAAGATCTTAATTGTTCTTTCGCCACAGGACACAACTCCTTGAGTGTTCCTTGTTTTCTTGTTTTCCTTTGAAATGGTCAATACTGTTTACCTCACAGAGAAGCAGAAAGAACAAGCCAATGAGAAAGATTTTCGATTAACTCTCCTTGATTTATTCCAAAAACACCATTGAGTGTCTCTTTTTCCTTCCAACTCTCCTGCACAGTCGGACCTCTTCCAGGACGACCTGTATCCAGACACAGCAGGGCCTGAACCTGCCATGGAGCCTGAAGAGTGGCTGGATGGTCGCGACGAAGATCCCATTCTGGTGTCCATGAGGGACGGCTACGTGCCGCCAAAGAGCCGAGAACTCAAAGTGGCGAGGAAGAATGTGTTGGATTCCAGACCCACCACCCGACGCAGCATGTCCACTTTGGAAACCAACAGCCTGCCAGTAAGTTCTGTATCTCTCCTGTTGTTAGACGCTCACAAACTGCACATCCTGAACATGAACCCCTGTTCAGAAACAATAGTTCTATTTCAAACCTGTGGATGTGTCTCCTGGGTTCAGAGATACAGGCAAGTGAAAGGACAGATTTGCTTGTGTGGCTAGTTCATGCCTACGTTTCCTATTTTGGCTTCCATTTATGTGGTGAACACTGGTGATGTGTACCTCTTGTGGAGCTCAACTTGAGATTGAGGATGGCCATGAGTGGACTCCAACTTTCTGCCAGTGCCAGGACAGTTTTTCAGGCCAGGAAGCAGTCAAGCCAAGTTTTAGAGGCCCGGGGTCTTAGTGGCGGGTTGGCACAACAGCCTGGTTCAGCTCTCTAGGAAACATGGCACAAAAGCTTCATAATGCTCACATCACCTAAAGCCACCACAGCAGCCCGACAACAGGGCCAAGCAGCTGGCATCAGCACAGAGTTTAGCAGCTTCCACAAACAGTGCAAACTTGTGTATTGAAACCGTTGTACTCCTGAACTCCTGATTAAACAAATAATAATCTTTCATAAAAGCACTGAAATAGTAGCAGCTGGACACATTACAGCACCACAGATTGAACCACAGCAGCAGCTGAAGTCCAAACAACAACCAAGTATTCAGCCACAACTTCACGATCACAGCAGGCAGAGCAGCTGTGAGCAGCTCACAACCAGAAGCTGGATTTTGTCAGCAATGAGCCGTTTAAAATGAATAATGGACAGTAAATGCATCAGTGTTGGATTGTCTCTCCTCTTGTGTCTACAGAGTGGTTCCCTAAACTGGTAGTGTGCTATAACTGGACTGGACAAACACTCTAACTCTTCATTTGAAATACACTGTAAAAAAGAAAAGGCAGAGAAAACTCAAAATATCAAGGCATCGTGATGCAACAGATTTTTCAGTTTTCTCAACTTTTGTCTACCACTGTTGACTTTGCTACAGTTCAGACAAGAGTTATCTAACTTGGATCTTCTTGTTCACCTATTGATAATATTTGAGTTCTACCAACTTGGATCTTCTTGTTTAACTAATGATAATATTCATATAAGGCTAACTATGAAAGTCTTTTTTTATGACATGTATTTCTGTCATGTACAAAGAGACATTTTCTTGTTGAATTAACACACTAAGTTAGAATAACAACAGTGGGAAGTTACATGAAACTAGCTTTTTATTCATGTGAAACATGGTTGTGAACATTAGGGTTAACAAGTAAAAGGTATGAATAGACTTGTCTACTTACAACCAGGCTATTGATAAATAGTGATAATTCCACAAATCTTTTTTTTTTTTTACTGTGCATTAATCACAGTGATTTGGACCATTTACAATCTGTAAATATGCTTGAGAGGAAGTAACCTTTCTCTGATGTTGTTAGAGGCAGTGGATTAGATTGTACTATAGCAATAGGAATTTCTTGCAAAACAGAATCATGTATTTCAATGTTATGTTTTGAGAGAATCTCTTTCATACTATTGAAAGTCTGAATGCTAAAAAAAAAAAAAAAAGGCAACAGATTATGCAAATTCTCTACAACCCTTTGCGTTGCACTTCTGGAAACATGTAAAACAGTTTGCATATACAGAAAGAGAGAAACCAATTTGTGCTTGAGTGTCTCACTATCCACATTTTCCACAATCTCATCAACCTCGTCTGGTCTCACACTAGTCTGTGCTGATGACGCTGCTTCATCATCAGATTCTTCACCAACATTTGGTTCACCTCCAGTACTCTCTCTTATTGTTGTTTGAAAATCCTTAAGGGTAAAGTCTTTATGGTTTAGACTTCTGTGAGAAGTGAAGGTTGAGCGAGTGTTTGTTGTAAAGGTACACCTTAGAAAGGAACATTGTACAGTTTCTCTTTTCTCAAAATTTTGTCCAAGATGGTGCCAAAAAGTTTTGTCACTGCAGATCTCATTAAAATCACACAGTTCACAATGAAATGTTGAATATCCACGGATTACCAGAGTTGTGTGTGATCTTGTGAGGTGTGATCTTAATGCTCCTGGTATTTTATATACACATGCACAGTGTGTGTGAATACCACGCCAGAGCTCGGGAATAGCCAGCTGAAAGGATGCTCACGATAATGGAATTTAAAAAATACGTGCGGATTGTCTAAAGTTTGGAGTGTGGACTGCTTTGAATGTAAAGTCAAGCTAAGAAATGTTTGCTTCAGCTCTGAGCTCTGGTGTGGAGTCTGTGGTATAAAATGACATGAGTTGAGAATAAATGCTTAGACTGATTGTAATTCTTTCTTTCTGACAGTCATTTTTGTTGCTATATTGTGAAGCTCCCATTAGATAACTCTGATGCTGCTAAGATGCGATGGAAATCTTTTCGCTGGAGGACAACAGGTGTTCACAGTGAAACTTGTCAGTAAGACACATTCAGAGGCCTTGTGTTGAACTTTACTGGTATCAGTGATGCTGTTCTTATCAAACAGCTAGGTGTCTGTGACTTGTGTCAGTAAATACAGCTCTTTATAGTTAGCCCTTTAGCTCTGTTTAGTGCTGTTTCCCTGCGATGGACTGTACGGCTGTTTATGGAGTATGTTGGTCGGTCAGTAGAGTGGCGATTTAGCCAGTAAGTGGTTGAACACCGAAGGGACATTGTCAGGCTTTAGTCCGTCGGTCCGGTGAATGACTAGCTTGCTGGACTCTACCACATATCCTCCAGAAAGCGTTCCCTAATGCCTGGAGTCAGAGCCCATCGGAGGCTCTTTCCCTTCAGTGCTGCTTGTGGAAGTGGACTGTTTTATGGCTTTAACTTACTATAAGAACTA